AGCGGCAACAAGTGGGACCAAATGAAAGTGGACACCACGCAATGGAATTCCAGGAGGCCGGCATGTCGATGCCACATATAGTCACCAGCCACGAAGTTACAAGCATCGGCGAAAAGCTGTGAATTGGCTATTGCAAAGTGTCGTGACCAAACTGATTAGAAGGACCTGGGTCCACGACCGGAAGTTGTCCGAAGTCGACCCTTGTTCCAGCTGAACGCGCAGAGACTCCACAAGGCACGAGATCCACGACCGAGAGTTGTTCGAAGTCGATCCTGTTCCGACTGGGTGTGCAACTATATCTGATAACCGACAAAACAACATGAGTTGAACTGTGGGTAATTTGTTTTGTTTTTCAAGTGTTGCATTTGTATGAGCATTGGTTGTCCTGATGCCAGGTTGGGACGTGCGATTTCGCACACTTCGGCGGCTCTTACTACCGGGACTAGCGTTTGAGCTCGACCGGCGCTGGATAAAAAAGAATCGACCGGGACTACCGTTTGAGCTCCGAAGTACAGTGCAACAGAATATACATTAATAGATTTGGTAATAACGTGATAATAGTATCATAATCATAATATATATATATATAGATATATATATATATATTATATATTGTGTCATCTCATCATCATCTCATTTTGTTTCATCTTAATGTTTTGAATCATCATATATCATCTCTTCATTTCTTTAGTGCTCATTCATCTTCTGTTACTTCGCTTTTCTTCCCTTCTATTTGTTCTCTTCCGCCTACTTGCTTTCGGGCCACCCTGTCGTCTAGTTTTTGCTGTTTGGGTTTGGGATGGTTTAGGGTGTTTGCTAATGGTTGATATGTACAAGGAACTATGAACTGCTTCTAGATTTCTAGGACTAGACTGTCCAGGAGATTCGTCCACGCCATGTACATGGAGATCTAAACAGCCGGATCACTGATGAAGCCTGTAAGAGGTTAGACGCCATTCACGCAACGACCATGTTTGAGATGGACACTTTGCTGAGCCTGGTTCTCAGACCCAAATCACAGAACAACAGTTTAAATATGTTCAATAACCTTATCATTTTGCATTGTAGAAACATATGCTCACAGGCGATGGTTCCTATGACACAGACGAGCAGGTTAAGGTATTGAAATCTCAGTATGGAGAAATACTATTGGATCGATACATTCAATTTCTCATGAGCGACCTGAGCAATTTCCGGAAGACTTGCTATTGCTATTCTCCAGGGCATTCTGATGCACCACCGCCAAAAAAGCGTGCGAAGGCCAGTGAGAAACCTGAACAATCTGATCAAGTGGAGGACTGGTGTTGTGGTTTTGCTTCACACTGTTTTGCGGGGCAACTAGAGTGTTTGCGGAGGACAAGTGCTTGACGCCTGTTGGTTACGCGGCTATGCGTGGTTTGCTACCAGGAACTGAATTGGGTGCAAATTCAGTTGGTATGCGACAACGTTTGGTCTTTTCTGCTGCTGGAACAACTTGCAAAGACATCAGCTCAATGGGTACCATGGTTCAAAAAAAGAAGCAACTCACACATGCTGCAACAGAGTTTTTTTAATACACAAAACAAAACCATGGCATTCTCAGGCTTGTTGCAAGGACTATTGGGACCAGCGTGCAGGCCACTTGCTATTTGGATCTGTGAAAGGAAATGGTGTCGCAATGCTGAGGAGACTTTGCGTTATCGTTTTGTTGTGCTATTGTTAGTTGTCATTGTCAGCTTGTGTACAAGTAGTTCTGTTCGTGTTATCAGATTGCTATAAGTATCACTTGCTCAGGACGTTTGCATCCATGAATGCACAAGTCGCTTTGTGAAAGGGTTGTTGGCGAAACACTTAGATCATTTTTGCTGGCACTTTGTCAGCCGGAATCCATTGGACAAGAGCTCAGATCTGACGTCGGAAGATAAAATGCTGTTTATGAGCCCTCATTTGCTGGGATGGCCAGCTGTCCGAGAAAGATCATACTTGGCAACTTAATAGCATTCTAATCTTGTTCTTACTTGAAGAAAGGTGCAATTTGGTGATGGTTGGCAACTTTTTTTTGTTTGAGTCTTGTAATCAATTCGGAGTCTAAGGTAGGTACCAACAAGGCTACCTGTCGACTTGGCGAGCGAGGGCTGAATTTCATCCATGATATTCTTGAAAGACCAACTTTGACCTGCTCTGCTTTTCTTGCAGCCCCCAAGGATTGGGGGATTATGCGATTTTTGTTGTGACGGCTGCGTGCGGTGGATTGTTGCAAGGCTTTGTTGACCTGCAGGCACACGTTGAAGCTGAACGTCAACGCGTTGCCAAGAAGATGTTCAAACCATCTAACACGCCTTTCAGCAATCTTTTGGGAGGCCTGGCAGAAGGGCTTCCAGCAAACTTTGCGCAATGTCAACTTTCACCTTGTGTCTTTCTCTTAATACCAGCCGCTAGGTGGAAAATCTGTGTGGCTACATAACTACAAGGAGTCTGATCGAGTGAAAGAAGGGCTTGCTAGAAACTTGTCTTGCAACTTGCAACACACACCTTCTTGAATGTGCAGTTGTGTGTCGTCAGTAGGGTCCTTTTATTCTTTGAACATTGTGTCACAAAAACAGCAAACATAACAGAACAACAAACACACACAATAACAAAGCAACAAATTGGCTTAGGTGGATCGGCTATGATGGTGAATCTGAATCAGAATCCGTCGAAACGCCCATGTGCATCATCTTTGGCTCCAACATTGCTTCAGCAAGGTGTAATGTGGGTTTGCAGAAGTCAGAACGACGGGGACGCTGAAGAACGATGGCTATTGGAAAACGAACACCTGTTGGTCATGGGTTGGCCGATATATCCGGAGTTCAGTACCAAGTGGGATCATCCATTGTTGAGAACTGATCATATCAGCGCAACTCAAAAAAAGAGCCTTGCTGGCAATGCCACTAGGATGAACTGTATGCTGAACTGCATTGACAGCGTTTATTGAACAGCAATTGTGTTTGTTATATATTGCTTTTCATGATTTGTCTCATCAAATTATGTTTTGTGTTTGCTCAGGCAATGCACTGCGCAGTTATGGGAGGGCTTTGGTGTCTAATCTTGTGCACGCTGGAAGTTGTGCGATGACAGCAAACATAAGCACACCAATTCAGTAATGCTTACATGACAAGTGGTGAAGCGAAAGAACGTGCTTGCAGCTTTCAACACAGTTGCACTGCAGTGTTATGAAGATTTCTTGTTGTGTTCAACTTGTTCAACCATGTTTTTCTTTGCTTGATTTATGAGAATCGCACGTACATGGGCATAAAGTGTTGGGCAGCTGTTTGTGAACGCCTTGCGTGTGCTTGCAAGTTCTGCACTCAAACCTTGAAAAACACGTTTTGCCTTATATGTCAGACTCACCATCTGCTGTACCTGACCCGACGTCAGTTGGTACGGCGATGTCCGATGCAATGGGCGACCAGCTTGTTGCGCCTGAATTAGGGTTGTTGTCAGGCGGAGGGCAAGCAGTGGTCAAATGCCAAGTGAAAGATTGCACAGTGATGGTACCAAAAATGCCGTCAAGGCCAGATTTGTTGAAAGCCTTTTTCATATTGGAATGTGAAGGTTGCAGGGTGAGAAGGTGCATTTACCATTGACCAAGCTCCTTTGTTTGCTTGGCATCAGCAGTGATAATTTTGTCCAGGACTATACAACTATGCTCGGGTGACATCAGTAATCGAGAGGCCTTTCTGGCACAAGCACAGAAAGCATCTCCGAGAACGAAAGCGTGGCTTCTTGAGCTAGAGAAGACAGATCCAGAGGAGTTTTTGCATCTCCTTGGAAACTTCTGTGAGAAGTGCTTCAGCCGTAGATTTATTTGTTGGTCTTGCAACATGTGTTGTGTCATCTGTCCGTATTGGTGCAGGTATACTGTTCTGGCATGTTCTTCCATACCAAGGTGTCCAGCACGAGGTCGTGGACTGCCACGCAACAAGTTCGATTTTAGTGAGATCATGCTCGTGAAATCTGAATCTCAAGGTCATCGATCAACGACAGGAACCACTTCAAAACCTTTGGACTATGATGCCTACATAAAGTTTTACACGGAAGAAGCACCAAAATGGAGGCGTTTCTTGTTGACAAAGACTTTTAATACAACTTGTGACTGCATCACACAAAACAGTGCATGGACTGTCAACCGGAGCTACACTGCTACACTTTCATTACAACCTTCCATGTCCAAGGATTGTCGAAGAAAGCTGCTGATGCAAAGTGGTGGGAGGACCTATTGAATATTGTGCCGTGGGACATTTCTAGTTGAATACTATTTACTTGTTGCCAGGACATGCGGGGTGACACTCCCAAGAAGCAGGTTGACGCCAATGACCTCAGTGGTGCTTTTACCGGCAAGGCATTTGGAAATGAAGTGAATTTTGAGATTGACAGGTTGAACAGCATATGGCCAATATATGAATGCTTCAACTTGAACTCACAAGATGTTGACAGGTTTGGTTGATCTACGTTGCAACAGAGGATGCCCAAACTGACATTGTGTACAAGGTCGGCAATCCACATTGATTCGTTGTGATTGCGTTTACTGGTTGTCCATCTGATGATGAAGAGTTCATCATGATGCAAGACTGGACTTTCTTCTTTAATGACTCTTAGTGCCTGAATGAGGACGACAACGTCAGAGTGGAGCAGCGTAAGATCAACAAAGCAGCATCTGATAAAGTTCTGCATGAATGCCGTGATGCCAAATCCAGTGTTTGGAGTGATATGCAAAACGATGAGGGTTGGTCGTTGAGCATGCCAGCTCCTGGCAAGACTGGTGTCGCTGGTGTCTCTAGTTTTCCAAAGTCGCAGAAGGATAGGACCGCCAATGCTACACCAAAGCCAAAGGCAAAATCCAAAGGAAAGTGCAAACATCCAACTGTTTTCTGACAATAATAGAATCCCTTTTGCATGTGCTTGTCATTGTCTTAGTTGTTGTTGTTGTTGGCAGAATGCTATTGAACTAGTGTCTTTTGTTGTCAATTCAGGTTCATGCGATGAAGCTGAGAACATCATCTTTGAAACGATTCAACGATGCGAAGGATGCGTTGGACAAATCACAATCTATGTATGAATCCGCAATGGCAGAAGCCCAGCAAATCAAGGACAAGGATGAAGCCGCTGGTTTGCCAATATCATTGAACTTTGATCCAACGTACCTTTTCTGCAATGCAGTTGCCTAATGGTCCAGCTTGAGTCATCATTGTTTTCTCAATCTTCTGATAGACTTTGATGTTTGGGTGTTTGCTGGGTAGGTATCAGATCATCTTGAAGCGCCATCTCATCCTTGGCGCTGCCAGGCAGGCAATCAAAGTCTTGCACTGAAACCGCAACTGAAGGCAGTCTAAGTTTAAGCCAGCTACATTGAACTACTATTCAGTTTTCCTCTTGCAGGAGTTCAACGGAAGATCGAGATGGAATGGCTTCCAAGGCCCTGGAAGACCTTTTGAAGCAGGACCCCTTCTTTGAAGAACTGCTCAATGATCATGACGCTTCAGTCATGACGCTTGGGCGGCTCAACTACGTTCGAGACATCCTCCTTGATCTCCAACCTTCAGTGGACAAAGTTGATGAAATGATCACCATGCACAACAGTGCTGTGTCATTGCTTAGCCAAATTGCGAACGCATTGCGCAGTGATGTTGACAATTGGAAAGCTGGTATGAAGGCAACAGCCAAGGCAAAGGAAGAAGAGCGTAAAGCCAAAGAGAGAGAACAAGCAAGACTTGAAAAGAAAAGAAAGGCTGAAGAACTGAAACAGAAAAAGAAAAGAGATAAAGAGCTAGAAAAGCAGCAAAAAGATGCACAAGCAGCAGCATCAGCAGAAGACACAACGCAAGTGCCAGACGGCCCAGAGCAAGACCAAGACAAGAGGAGACGTCGTACTAGGACCAATGTCCTAGAGTTGGATCAAGATACAGACCTACCAATCATCTTCAACGCTCGTCGCTTTGGGCCTGAGTATGAAGTTGGGGTGTTTGATGAACTTGCCAACTTTGCAACCGCCATTTGGAACCATTCAACAGTCTCCAAGATTTGCCGCCTCAAGAAGAAGGGCTCAATCAAACATGTCTTGAAGATGATACCACCACGGCTCCTTGATTCACAACAGGTGGCTTCGCTTGCAAAATCGATTCTTGATGCGGTAACAGACAATGCCACCAAGTTTGATGAGCTCTTGAACTCATCTGCAGCAGCCGCAGGCCGTGACCGCACCACCAAACAGCTGGACTTGGCTGGGACATCACCATACTTGGGATTTGACCGTCTTATCCAAGAAGCATCTGAGAATGCGTTGACTGAAGGCAGCACTGGATCTTCAGCGATCTTGCTTGACCGAGAAGACTTGATGGCGAGGAAGCTTGGTTTCTTTTGAGTAAAATGTTACATGCACAGTGCGCAGTAGCATAGCTTTTGTGCACCACCAAAAAAATGTGACATGGGTTAGGGTGATTAAGGCACCAAGCAGCTGTTGGACTCAAACAATAGTGGTTCTTGCTTACCAATCAAGTCAGGATGAAGACCTTCGATGGTTGTGGAGATGCAGACTTGGAGAAAATGTGTAATGGTCACGTGCAAATGCACGCTAAAGGTGCCACGTTTCAAGGGCTCTATCCATCTTCTATGGGCTCTATCTTCTACAACTGCCAAGGCAACAGAGTGTTCGCTACAATGCGGATCACAGAAGCATACACTGCTACTGGCTTGGATACCTTTCAAGGTGTTGTTACACGTGTGTCCAGAATGGAGTCTGGGGAGGAGCTCGAGATCCCAAGCCTGCGCAATGGCTACTTGAGTGCTGGTGACATCCTCTTCATTCCTCCAGGGCACCTTTGCTTTGAACGAGCTGTCAACGGGCACAACGTTGGATGTCGCGTCCTTTGCCCCGTGTTTGACAAATCTGCATTAGATGACCTGCGCATGGTGAATGCGACCTTTCCCAGGAAACTTGAACTCGTTCAGCTGGTATTCATTTTATGTTTTTCTTTCGGTTGTAGATGCACTTTAGCACACTTTTTGGAGTTCAGTGCACTACCAAAACTTGGCAAGTGTTAAGGAACATCATCACACTGGCAGTTCTACAAGCACTTGAGGAGGCAGCTGCAAAGCGTGTCCCAACACAACTAGCTTTGATGGCTCCGGCACCAAGTACATCAGCAGCACATGGAACAGCAGCAGACCCGTTTCTGGAAGTAAAAAATGAAGATGACGATGAAGATGAATTCCTGAAAGACCCTGTCTATGCTGTGGTGACACCAGAACTTCATCCATGGGTTCATCCAAACAAAGACAGCCGCAGGCTTGAGATGACGCCAGAGCAGTTCGAGTGTGCGCTGGAAGTATGCAAGCTACATCCAAAGCTCCCAGATTACATCCGACACTGTCATCAGAACCTCGGAGTGGATGATGATTACGAGTTCGGTCATGAAGATGGAGATCAGGAGGCAGATGTCGCAGACTTTGTTTCATTTCTGGTGACAACATATCATATGATGATGAAGGATGACATCGATGCAGCTGCAAAGTCACTTCAGCCACCAATCACCTCAGCAGCAGCAAAGGCAGCACATGCTGAGCCAAAGGCAGCAGAGGAAGACCATCCTGAGCAAGCAGCAATGCAACCAGAGGCAGCACCAACACACCAGCACAGCGTTCCATCCACTGTGCTCAAAACAGATGCCACACCAGCTGCAGCAGCAAAACAAACAGACCAGCCAGCAGATGTTGTCATGCAGCAGAAGCAAACAGAAGC